GCGAGTGTCCAGATCGGTATAAGAATAGTGTGATAATATCGTATGTCAGACGGGCATATTCACACAGCTCTGAACCACTTGAATTTCGTAAAGAACTCGATAAAATAAAACAATTCCTTGTCAACAATAATTTTAACAATTCAACAATAGATAAAATAATGACCAATGAAATTAGAAAGATTCAAAATAATAATATTAAGGTAAATGATAACAATGAAAACGTTCAAAACAACTCAAGTTATAATCACAATGTAACCGACAATGATAACCACGTTTCTATCGATCATAACAGCCATAACAACACAAGCAACACTGACAACAACACAAGAAACAACACAAACAACAATGACGACAATATAAGCGATAATAACACGAACAATAATGATAGACGTATTATCAATGATCATGATAATGATAACACAAATAACAACGAAAACAATGGTAACCATGTTACTATTGCACAAGTCATTGTCGATAACCTAATCAACAACGACAACCATGTTATTTCCAATAATCTTGTCAGTAATGTAAACAACTCAAACAACGACGTTGTTGCTGATCATGTCGGTGACAATGATGCAAACTCTATTACCAACTTCAACAACAATAACAGTGACAATAACGATGACCATGTGGATCATGACAATGATAACAACACAATCAATGACAACCTCCTCATCGCAAACTCCATTCAAAACAATAACAACAACTCAAACAACAATACCGACAGTGCAAAATTAACTTAATTTTATCGTAACTTAATGAGCTCTTCGTATAAAGAAGACGAATATATAATTAGAAAAATCATTAAAAAAGGAGTCCATCCAGTTGATTCTAATGAAAAAATAAACCTTCTTATTTATTATAAAAATTTTAAGTCGCAACAACTACTAATAAAAAATAGTCCCAACGTTAAACTAGCAACAACACAGCACTCCCACGTCATCTACCAATTTCTATGTCCTCACGAAGACTGTAGGCTTCGTCCATCTTCTTATATTGGAATGACTACCACAAAACTGACACGCCGTTTAACCTGCCATTTGAACATCGGAGCTCCAAATCAACACTACCATGACTGCCACAACCAGCAATTATCCCGCAAAATATTAGAGGATAATACTAAAATATTAATGAAAGACACTAATTTTAACAGACTACAAATTTTAGAATCCCTATTTATTAATATATATAAACCTAATTTGAACAAACAAATTTATTCCAATTTTATTTTACCTTCATCACGAAATGTTTAATTTATTATTATTATTATTAACATAATATTGCACATATAATATATTTTATTATGTTATATTACAAAATAATTGTTTATTATACTTAATTTAACTACTTACGTTATTTAACTTTAATCGTTACGTTACTTTCGCGCTCAACTCTTATTACGTCATCTGACAGTTTATTGTTATGTTTTATTTGAATTAATATTAAATTGCCTGAAGATGAATTATAAAATTCGAAACGTCGCTTAATAAATAATTATATAATGAATATTGGTGTTCTAATTTTTAATTTAAATTATAATTATAAAAAACTAATAAGAAAAATAGAAAATCTTAATAAAAAATTAAATAACAATAATATAAGCATCGCGTTTAATGAAATATATATATATATATATATATATATATATATATATATATATATATTAATATATATATATATATATATTAAATAACAATAATATAAGCATCGCGTTTAATGAAATATATATATATATATATATATATATATATATATATATATATTTGTAACAATAAATTCAAAATAGTCAATAGTTAAAATATGATTTCTTTTTATAAATTGTACATATTAACTGTTAATAAACTATCAAAACAAGAGCAAGCAGCCAGCAACTACTATGTATTAAATAAATCAACGAAACTAACAACCAATCAGCAACTAACCAAACAATGGCCAATCACAATTAACCAATGACCAACCAGCAACCAACAAACGACAAATCAACGAGAACAAGTTAATAACCAGCAGCCAATCAAAATTAGCCAACAACAACCAACAAAATCCAACCAACCAAAACCAACCAATTAAAAAAAAGCCAAAGGTCTATTACAGACAAATCAACAAC